GCAGGAATATCTCCATCCTCCATCAGCAATAGAACTGAAACCTCAACCATTGGGCAGACACGCAGGACACACACTGGGCACTGATGTGTCCTCCACATGGTATCCTCCACCATCTAACGTGGGTGCGTGTTGCCTCAGCTGGCAGGAGAAACAACCAAACAAAACAAGCTGGCCATAACCTCATGGATCTCCAACGCCTACATATGTGTTTGTGGCAGCCAGCAATGTTGTTCAGCTATTCCAAACAGAGAAGTCCAACAGATATATTGCATCTGTAGGTTTGTTTTCTTTTCTCTCTTCCATGCCCCAATCCAAACTTATTTTTCTAGACAAAGCAATAATGTAGGTGGAATGATGTTTGCTGCTGCTGTTCTGCAGAGGCCAAAATGTAAGAAAGCAAGAATTCACTTCAGCTGCAACACAGCTCTATTGTAAATATAATGTTTCCCATCAGACTGCTGACTTTCACCACCTGCCAAACACAAGCTGGTTTCCAAAGGCTGAATTCTGAGTCTCAAAGGCTAAATACTGGCTGTCAGTAGGAAGACTGCAGAAAGATGGATGCTGAAAAATATTCTTTATAGCTCCCACATCTATGGCACAGCTCACAAATATTTTCTGCCATAAGCAACCATCATTTAGAACGCAATTTCACATGATTCACTGCCTTATACAATCAATATATCATAATCACAGAAAAAACAATTGAGAAGATACAATGGTCGTAAATACCACAGTCTTGTTAATGCAGGGTTCTTCCTTTCACACTGCAATCCAGTATTATTTTAAATCTGCTGAGCAACTGGGCAACCACAGAACACTCCGCTTCACAAGTTTCTAATCTTGTTTTCAGTATGATCCATACTTCGTTCTTAATTTAACCAGATATCCCCTAGAACTTGTCATTTTTTTCCTATTGCTCTTCTCTCATTTCCCTGTTTTTAGCAGTAAAGTGTTTGCAATATAGTTACAGAAGGAAACTGCTCCTTTTCTGCAGCCCAGATATGCGGATGCATTTTGTTGGCGTTTGCAGCCTTAATTACCTGGAAAACCACATTTGTTTTAATACAAATTAGTCCAGTGATGCTTTGTTTCCTATTTAACGTATTTTTCCAAGATGGAGGACCATGCAGTTTTTAAACAGCATTACTCTGTATCTTTAATTTTAACCTCCAAACCTAATTCTCTGTCCTGCTTAGTACTCTGCCTTTCCTCCTTTAGGTTACTAATGAAAATATTCAATGAAATGAAATGTTATAGAAATGTCTTCAGGACACCAGTTTAATCCCATTGAAAATTCAATATGCTCATGCTTTCCCTTTGTTTTTCATCCGCTCCAAGAGAGTTCCTTTATTTCATTATCCTCCATGAAATCACTGAGACTTACACAAAGACTTCAATTTGATAGTTTTATATTCACAGATAGAACTCAACACTCTTTTTTTCCTGCTGTGGAAAGAAGTTCCAAACGGTGTAAAAGCCTCTCTCAGAGATCCAACTGTGTCACATCCCCTGCATTCCGCACGCTCCAAAAGCGACCTTCGAGCTAAGCACAAAGCATCTGTAGTTTATTTAACCCAATCAAGCACTGAATCTTACCTTTTCTCCTTTTTCTCCCCTGCCATAACCTCTGCCCTGGAAAGAAGGGGAGAAAAAAGTACGTTTGATATCAGAGATGTCAAATTATGCTTATAAATATCCTATTATGATATATATGCACGTATATATATACACACACTTCATACATACATATATAGACACACAAGTTACAGGACAGCTAATTTAGGTTAAGTAGCATTCCTTGGCAGTAACTTCTTCATAATAAAACAGCGAGGAATTAAAATAGAGAACCCATCCCCAACTTTCCCCGTCAGCCCCAGAAAATGTCTTATTCTCCATTCTGGATGTAGTCTAACATTATGTTTATAAAACCCTACATGCCAACAACCCTAATCAGATTGAATTTGAAACAGGGTTAAAAATGTTCTTGCCTAAAAATCCAGTCTGACATTTGCATTAATTGCAACTGGGGAAAGCTGGATCTCACTCATCTGAATGCAGAAGAGTTGAGAAAGACTTGCCCCTTCTTTGTGTGCAGTTTTCTTTCTGTTCAGTGAAAAGCTGTGCTAAAATCCAGTACATCCAAATCACATATTTTAATTAAAAGGCCAATACTAAGCCAGTTATCAGCCAAATTCAGGAAGGAATCCATCCATTTCTCCCTCTCCAAGGGATGCTACTGGGCACTAGAAAGATCAGCTTCTGCCTGGGATAACTGAGCAGCAAGAGCTGCGTATTCAAGAAAGCATATGGCATGGCAGGAAAAGCTTCAGCGTAGAGAAAAAACACAACTACTTGGTTTTCAAACTTTTTTCTTACTTACTGACTCTCCTTTCTCTCCTCGGATCCCGGGAAGTCCTTGGCTGCCACTTTCTCCCTTGAAAGATAAGAAAGGGTGTTCATACCACAGAGACGATTCATTCCTCTTTTGAGAGACATGAGGATAACAGGTAAGACTTCCTCTTCTCCTTCCCCTTTGGCCTCACTTGAGAGATGTTCCACATTAGTCTTTATTTTGTTGTTAGCTCATGGGTGACTTGTTTTCTTTATCAAGTGGTACAATAAGGCTTTGAGTAAGATTATGGACATTTCTGTTCCCACTGGTCTTTACTGACAAGATTCTAGCTCCTACCAGAACTGGGGGGACTCCACTGCATTTATATTGATTTTAACATGCAAGTTTTAAAAATGATTTTTTTTCATGCTGCTATAATCCCTCAGGATGCACTGACAAGGTAAAGAGCTCTTTTGGGTACTTCAAAATATTTTACTTTCTATTAAACCAGAAAGGACTACCTGCATTCAGAAGTGGTTTGCATAGGACCTGGAGAGTGCAAACCTAGAATATGGAAAAAAGTTCAAAAAGTCCTCAAGATTTCAGGGTTATTTCTATAATTCTAGTTTCAAAAAAGATTTTTCATTCATGCTAGATTTTCACGATCAGCTGACTCCTGCGTGTTCTAGCACAAATGTGCAACAAAGTCTCTCTCTACTCCTTCAAATGGAAGGGAAAGAAGAGAACATGGGGGAAAACTGAAAGTATATGTATAATTATAGGGAGAAGAATGAAGATTGGTGAAGTAAATACATAGAGAGGAAAAGAGAAAAATTATTTAAAAGATCCCATCCCAGTTTTTTTCCTCACTCTGTTCCTAGGAAAATAATTTTAAAAAATAGTTTATGGGGTAGGGAGGAAAGGGATAGAGCCAAGGAGGATGCACCATTTGATAATATCTATTAGCTACAGAGCTACAAATTGCTTCCAAAACAGCAAGTAGAAGAGAACACCTGCAAATCATTTTCATGTACCACTCCACATTTGCAATACTGGAAGAGGAGGCCACCTGAGGATATACCCCCAACTAAACACAATTTAAGGCTATTCTCAGTACTGCCTGCAGATGCTTTGATTCCCATAGCACGAGGAGCTGCTGGAGCAGAATGCTCTGCCTGTGTCGCCTTCCTTGCTCCTTCCTGGTCCTACCACAAAGGAACAGGCCAGAAATAGACTGTGCTGAGCTCCTTATCAATCACTAACAAGTACTAAGTCTCTGTTTTTTGTATTTTCCTCACCTGTTTTTGTCTCCTAGTTTCTTCTGCTTATAGTGACTTGAAGTGCTTTGGAGCTAGAACTTTTTGTTTGGTGGGGACACAGTGTCCAGGAGTCCCAGACCTACCAAAGGGCTTCTAAAGCACAACAGCAGCAATGCATTCAATGACCCCTGCACTGCCCAAACCTCCCCCACATGGACTGCAGTAGCAGATTTAGTTTTATGACTAAATTGAATTTGTCCTGATATATGCCCATAAAATGCATTTAGCTGTGCGAGATGTTCAAGCTTTTGCCAGGATCATGCTTTCTTTTCCCTGATGAGACTTTAAAAATGAGATGCAAGAGGAAGATTTCTTTGCTTCATCTCTAGCATGTTTGCCAAAGGGAAAAATCCTCACAGCACAAGTGACATGTATGTAAAAATAAAATCACAATCAATTTAATCTAATAGGCCATAGCAAAATTCATACAAGGTTTTATACAGCTGTCTTTTAGGCCCCTTAAGACGAGGCAAAACTCCTTTCTAATTCTGGAGAGAAAAATAAGGGTATTCTATTAGAGACCTCTGGCCTTCACAAACTTCCCAAATGCAAGTAAGCAAGATCATTTCTATTATTTGCATGGGAAACAATTTCTCAGAGAAGCAATTTTTCCTAATCTCAGAGCACATATTGATGTCAGTGCTGAAACAGAGCAGGGGCTTGATGGCTCTCTGTCCAAAGCCCAACCAACTAGTGTGTCTGCCTCTAAACAACACAGCAAGCGTGAGGTGCATTGGGGGAAAATTAGACTGGACTGCTAAATTCTTAGCATCTAATATTTATCTGTAGGACCTAGCTTCAGGTACGTTTACCAGTTCTTCCTAGGATATTTCCCACTTCACTTTTCCCCTCAATAGCTTCCTTTGCTGTATCTCCTTCCAAAATGTATATGCTGTGTCACAATACATTACCCTTAGTTTGGCAGCATGGATGATTGAGGTAGAGGGCTTCATCTCTGGGAGATTTTTCTCTCTAATAACTGCAAGAGCAACTATTTCACCTTGGGTTTGGAGACTTAAATTAGCGAGGAATAGAAACTTGTTAACTTCCCATACTGTATATATATTATATAGATGCATTTTTTTGCAAGTCAGACACTATCATAGGAAAAGTTTGCCTTCTAAAAGAAGGGATATGTTTTTAGAACTCTGGATGCCAGAGTCTATAGCCTAGTCTGTCTTCAGTCCCAGAAAATTAAAGCTACTGTGGTAGTAACTGCAAAGATCTCCTCCAGCTGACTCTCTTCAATATGGGCTGAGCGGATCAGGAGCTACTGCTAGTGTAGCGGGGACAGAAAGAAACCACCCTTCTTGGAGAAGGGAAGGACCCTCATAGTCCTCCTTCCTTTATCAGTCTCTCTAGAGAATGTTTTTTTCCTTAATTGACCTGTGTCATTGTTTTTATCTTCTGGTGGAACTCATTTCTGTGATGACTCTCACCAGCGGCATGCTGTTTTTCTAATGTAACCAAACCTGCTGCTTTTCCTAGATATTAAGAGATAAATATAGTCCCTTACAGGGCAATTCTCCATATCAGCCTGTAAAATAGTCTTGGGTAATGCTCATATACCTACAACCTACCCAAATATCCCTTGGGTCCCAATTATTTAGAGATAGACTTTAACCTTGCAACTGACCTTAAGTAAGATATGCTTAGTAGTGACAGCATCTGTAGCCAAAAACATGACTTCTGACTCAGAGTCCTGAAGTCACTTATTTTCCACCTTTTCCAGATAGATAATTTATTTTCTTACTCAGTAATTTACTCCCACTTCTCTTTCTAGTCAGCTAATGCTTGGTGTTTTCTTATGTTGCACTCACTTCTTAGTATGTTTTAATCAAACCTCATGAGTTTTGTTCACAACATATAATTTATTTTGAATGTTTGCTGAAGGACCAGCTCTTAGATTCATGTAACCAGTAAAAACCCTTAATACTTCTTTTAAACCTCGAAAAAGTACTACAAGCCACATTACACACAAAATTTAAAGTACAACCCTTGACCCATAAAAATGAGGAGAGACAAAATGGACAAGCCTAGAACATATTACTAATATTTAGAAAAACATAATGTAGAAGTCAATCTCATTTTTTGTGGGGATAGTCTTTCCATAATAAAGGACCAGCTGCTAATAATGGGAAAGAGCTTTGGCCTTCCTCCCAATGGCCTTCCTCCCAATGGCCAGTATTGCAGCATGGGTAGCTCAGTGATGCTTCAAGAACAGAGAGGAGGGACAAGGTAATCCTCTGCATGTGGAGTAGGGCCACAGCAATCAGCAACAGCTATGTGAGAACTCCTATCAAGAGTGTTATATATCACGTAATCACAGCATCTTTGCCAGTCAGGAAAGAAACATTATTTGCTTTATTTAACAGATACAGAAGCTATTTGTCTCAAGTAATCGGCTGTTTGTACCAAATCACTGTCAGAGTCTGGTCTTACACTGTATCCTCGATACCTCTAGGACCCTCGGACAGTCATAGAATCATAGAATGCTTAAGGTTGGAAGGGACCTCTAGAGGTCACCTAGTCCAACCCCCCTGCACACGCAGGGTCACCTAGAGCACGTGGCACAGGACTGCGTCCAAGCGGGTTTTGAAGATCTCCAGAGAAGGAGACTCCACAACCAATCTGGGCAGCCTGTTCCAGGGCTCTGTCACCCTCACTGTTAAGAAATTTTTCCTTAAGTTCCTGTGGAACTTTTGGTGCTTCAGTTTGTGGCCATTACCTCTAGTTCTGTCGGTGGCCACCCCGGAAAAGAGGCCAGCACCATCCTCCACACTGCCTCCCTTGAGGTACTTATAGACACTGCTCAGGTCCCCTCTCAGACTTCTCTTCTCCAGGCTGAACAGGCCCAGCTCCCTCAGTCCTGCCCTGGCTTTATGGTCATGGACAACTACGGTCAGGAAGGAGTCATTCAATTCTGCATAGCCATTCAGTCACCCACCTGCAGCATTAGGCAGCTGCTAGCGGAGAGATGTGTTATTTAAGCTGCCTAAGGCACTCAGGAACGAGAAACAACATAGCTATCCATATAGCCACAGAGCTGGAGTGTACACTGTGATTAGGTTTTAACTCTGTGCTTGGAGATGCACCATTACATATTCCACAGATGTGCTTAGCACTCCATCGTGTTATGCAGCACAGACTCCCTTGCCAGTGCAGACCTCAATACGTCAGTGAAAGACACCAGGAGCTGCTGCATTACAGTCGTCATCGCTCTTCTGCAGCCTCCTCTCAGCAATCTCCCACGGCTCTGACATTCTTCAGAATAACCCCTCATTACTTAAACTGTCACAAATAAAAATAGAAAGTTGCTATTTATATACACATGGAAGCAAAAAAGAATACTCTTCTGCAGCTCGAGGCAAGCATATCTCAGTGTTAATGGGCTCCTTTTCAGTGCTGCTAGCAAAAAAACATACCCCCAAAAACACATCTCCTCATAACCTTGAACTTATTCTAAGTGACATAAAGATGCAATAGAGAAATTCAAATGTGAGCCTAAAGGAGAAAAAAAAGAAAAGAAAAAAGTAAAAGGGAGACAGAGTCCCCTGCACTTTTTCAGGGTCATGCAAGCCTATCTAAAGTCAGTCATACGCTAAATTCACTCATTTCCTCAAGCTCTTCAGCTTACTTAGCACCCAAAATTCTTATTTTTGTTCTTAAATGGATTGACTAGCACATACCACTGACCTTTTGACCTCTAGGGCCTTCAGGACCAACTTGGCCTCTCTCCCCCTAAAAGAAAAGATAGGTTTAGTTAGGCCAGGCTTCTCATCACACAACAAAGCAAGTGACCCAATCCCAAAGCAGAGAATGGAAGGTTTTTCCAGGCTCAGCAACTAGCAGATTAATAATAGACATGCTCTCAAGAATAAAGACAGTTTCCTACCCACCCCTTCACAGCTTATAATCATAAACAACATAAATAGACCCAGTGTTTTTAAGACCATGAGGCACAGCTATACTCACCTCCAGAACTCCCTCCTACTCCTTAAGGAGAATCTCCTTATTAAGGAGGATTTCTTCCTACTTATTAAGAAGGATGCACACACCTGGAGTAGATAAACTAACCACCCCATTATTAAGGTTGCTTCCAAGACTATTAGAATGGCAAAAGGTACTGAATTAGGTAAAGAGAAAACAATTAGGAAGACAGCCATTTCTTCTGGAGACATGGTGCCTGTGAATAACACAATGCCTGCTTCTTACTATGGATTACTTTGCACTAATAGGTCTTAAAATGCTTCACAAACAAAACCAGGCCTTCTTATAAATCACTCATGTGGCGTCATACCTCCATTTCCATCTCATCCATAAGTCGCCAAAGAAAACACAGCGCTCACCTTTTCTCCAGCTGGACAGGAGCAATTGACAGTCTTAAGGTGGCCAACTTGTTCACTGCCAACAGTGGGCTTCACTTCGAGGGGTGGTGCTTCTGTCAGGACCGTGACCTGGCACTGCACCCAAACACTCATGGTCATTATGAAGCCTTCAGTGCTAGAAACCCAGCCGTCCCTTTTCCCCCCTTTAAAGAAACCACACTGGCACGAGTGCATAATGCAGTGCTAAACATGTCACATTGAGGAACGAAATCCAGCCATTCATTCAGGCAATAGGGAAAAAGATGACAAAGTGAGAAATGAATCTTTTTAACCAGGATCTAGGGAAAAGGAAAGAAAGGAGGGTGGAAGTGTCTACTGAGAGCAGATGAAATTAAGCAGCTACTGGTATTGTTTCAGTTCTTCCTCAATAAAACAGTGGGAAACATGCTGAGTATTTCACGCTGAATTTCTGTTGTTCTATCATCACTTCAGGGTTTGTTTCTCCTGACAGTTTGACAAGGAAAAAGGGCTTAGAAATTTCTAATTCCTTATACTCATCTCTTCAGTGTGGTCATCTTCTGGTACTGCTGCATTACCAATTGTATAATTAAGACTCATTCACTCTCATTATAAAAATGACAAACTCACACTGGCACATCCCCTGATTCATGTAATATATTTCAATAAAGAGTGTTCATGTGAAAATGAATTAATAATAAGAAGAAGCTTACTGGTCCAGAGGGAATGTCACAGCAGGTTTCCAGCTCAGCATGTCGAGAATCACAGTAAATAACCATCCGCTGCAGATCAAACTAGAAGACAAAGTGAGACAATAGTCTTAGAGACAGTGAATTATTAAAGAATGCATATCCTTTTGTTTGGCTACAAACAGTGCAGAGGAAAATAAATAAAAGCCAAATTCATAGTGATTCTGTGGATGCTGTAGTCAATATCTGTTTCTCTATATCAATAATGGACCAATATCTCAGCATGCTCTGAGAGTGCTGAGTTAATGAGACCCTGAAAATACCTATTAAAATTCTGATGCAGCTTTTCATATAAACAAGGAAGAATGCTAACCTCTGTGTCCTAGCCAAATTCCTGTCTGAGAAGATATATTCTGCCCACCTACGCTCTTTCGAAAATTTTGCCAAGGCATAAGGTTTGCTGTTCTCCTGTTGTGCCCCTGTGACCATTTACCCCTGTGTGAGAAATGTTATTCCTACCAGTAATATGAACGTTCCATCTATTTTGTGCAGCTAAGAAAGATTACACAAGTCTCAAAACACTACACAATCATGCATTTTATAACTTCCATACGGTTATACCGGGTTAACACTGCTACCAGACAATCCTGGTCCAAAGTGCAGGTCTTAAACTTCAGGCTAAGATCGACTGTAGCAGAAGTCTCTTAATACCAGAATATTTTCTGAGGAATTGAGATTATGTCATGACTCTTCTGAGTTAAAAAGTTCTTTTTTTTTTTTCCCATCTGTCACTACCACCTGTGAAAACCTTCACAGTGTCAAGATCAAACAAGAAAAGACCTTTACATGTGTAATTCAGTACTCAGTTTGCTGGTATTCATGAATGACACTGTCTGTGGCTTTAGCTATGACACATTCTGGGACTACAGAAAAAGATCAGAAAGATTAAAGGGATTTCTCATTTTTAACCCCTGCTACAGAGGGATCAACACTGTCATATAAAGTGGCAATAAGTCTTGTGTATAATGAGAGGCTAGTCTCTTAGCTAAATGATCCATGTAACATTTCAGTAGGTGATTCTGCTTAAGGAAAGAGGCAATTATAATATCACATTTAAAAAAAAATCAGGTGCTGCAAGCCCAGTGCTGAACTTCAGCCCAGCTCTAGTCAGCACACGCAGTACTTACGTCAATGGGGATGCTATCATACAAGCGTTTGCCAATCACAGTCTTTCCTTGAATGTCGATATTTTCTCTGTCTTCTATAGGCAGTGTCTGCACCAGTCTGCAGTCTATGTAAAGGGTGACAGTCTCTGACTGAATGCTGAGGGCGATTTTGTGCCAGCTGCGGTCAAAAAGATCACTGACTCGAGCGCTTCGAAACACCACTCTCACGGCATCCTTGGTGAGCCCTATGGCATTGTATTCCACTGCCTTGTTCTCTCCATCCAGTCGGATCGAGACCTGCGAACAGACAGAAATTACTCTGCTGATGAAATGTATAGCCACATCATCCTTTCTATTGCCTGCCTCCAGTCTAGACTGATTCCCCAAGTGATATCGCGAAGTTAGGACGTGGTGAAGAGATATCCTGGCAAACAGCAGGACACCCGTCCTAGTGATATATGAAGCCAGGATGGCAGCCTATATGTCCTCTAGTAAACAAGATGGGTCAGGGCATGCACTCAGGTGCAGACCCATGACCATCCAAAGTCTTCCCATGTAAGCAAAGACTATAGCATGGTTTTAGCCCACACCATCATGATGCCTTGCAAGCAGTGCTTGGGCATGGTTGGGTGGTAGCACATACCAGGGTCCTCTCCCAAAAGGGAGCATAGCCAGTGCTGGGCTGCTTTGGGTTCTCCAGCCTGAGTGCACCACTTTCCAGTAGGTTCTGTGCTCCTTAGTGACCCTCACAAGTTCTCACCCATTGCTTGGGGCATGCACACATCCTTCATTTCTTAGTATGAAAACATTCTGATGGGTTTGTACACACCTTGTTTCAGATGCTTTGAACTGAAAACCAAAATGCACAGTAATAATTATGCTTTCGAGACAGAAGAGACTTAGGGCTGTGTGGACACAGCCAGGCGTGCCACTTAACCATTCAGTGCCAAAGAATGGTTCCTGGTCTAATTTGGTTAACTGGAAATAGAAGATACAAGGCATTGGGCTGAAGAAAAGCTATAAGGATTAAGATGGCCTTGACTGTTTTCCTTTCTAACTACAGCAGCAAAGCGTAATTCATGAAATATGCAGTCCTGAGTAGACAGAATAGTCTCAAATAAAGCATTTTCAAAAGGCAGTGAAAAAATCCTGTATTAAATACCATGACTGTGCTTTGCCACTGCAAAATTCATATCCCACCTCTGCCTCTCTCCCTCTACCTGTCTCTGTCTCTTCACGCACAAGCCATTCCTAATTACACCTTGCTACCTACCCCTCTTGTTGCAAGCTTTGGAAGAAACTGGTTTTTGAAGGCGCTACTCTTCGGTTCATTCACAATTTGATTTCCTCTTTTGCCAAATTGATGCAGCAGTAGGAAGGAGTGGAGACTGCACAAAAAACTGCAGAGCTGGGAGAGGTCTGGCCACTTTGTCGCAGAGCTGGCTCCGATGTAACCAGCCCACAACAAATGTCTCCAGATCTAATCCAGTATCTACATGCAGCTGAGCACCGAGCTGTCTGGAAATGCCAGCTCAGATTAGCATCAGCTTAGAGGGCTCTTCGGTCTGCAGGCCAGGCAGGTCTGTAGACAGGTAAGGGCCAAAGTGCTACTGACTTTAAATGAAAAAAAAAAAAAAAAAGGCTCAAGAGGCTCTAGGATACTTCTGACACAAGAATTTAAGGCATTTTTGAAAATATTATTGAGCATCTGGAGTTGTGGTTAGATTTTGTTTGTTTTTTCCTCCACATCTAAGAGGTTCAAGTATTCAGCTCTGACCACAAAATAATTAGTGATTTATGCAGAATTACTGTGCAGGATTAGGAATGCATATAGCACGATAAATGAAAATGCTTTTAGCAAAGTGCAGCTGATAATTTATCAAAATATTTTTCAGATTTGCCTTTTGCTGTTGTCTGAGACTCAGTTAGTCAAATTCTCATACTGCACCCACCTTTCCTGCTGCAAGCCTAGAATCCTTTGCAGAACTAGTCCCAAAGCAGCAATACTGCCTAACAGGACCAAGTCAGACTGTTTTAGAGTCATGGTAATGCTGTAAGTACACATTTGTATCAGGCAGCAAAACACACAGCCAAAGTAAACCACCCTTCTCTCCAAATACATGCACCCCCTTAAGCTAGAGCATGCTGCAGTCTATGCTGTATAGGAACAGGAGGATCTTTATTGCACTGTCGTGGCATTTTCCTCTGAGAATCTGAGGGTACTTTACAAATAGCATGGGATCAAATTCTGCCTTTAGAGGTATAATAGTTGTAATAGATGTTGTGTTCCCTTTCTAAGCAGGGAATGCATAATGTCTCCCCATATATGAAAAGTCTGTGTGAAATTTGGAAATACCTCATTGTTCTCTTGTCCTGTGGTCTACCTGGGTGGGTGTCTCTCTCCAAACAGGTAAAGTATTTTCTCTAAACAGAACTACACAAATAAAACAACTGAAAACCCAGAGAGGTATTTTAAAATCAAGGATTGTAGATCTTCTCCACCCTTTCCACCTAACACATCTAACCACATGCTGAAAACAAGCAGGGTCTAAGGAAACCTCCCTGCAGGGGCTGAAGTAAAGGCAAAGGTCTTTCAGCACAAATTATTGAAAGAAAGTCAGGCAAAGAGATTTTTATTAGTCCACAAGGAAAAAGTAATGGTAGCTTAAGGCAAGAAGGTAAGTTCATGCAATAAATTAGGAAAAAAAAAAGAAAAAAGAAAAGGCTGGTCTTGCTGGCTGTAAGGGGCCTTGTACCTGTGGTATGCCGTACTTGTCAATAATTTGCCAGATATACCAGTCTTCTCTCCTGGAAGCCTTTCGAAATTTGAAGGTAGTTACAAAGGCATATTCATCAGGCAGACCTTGTGGGAACACATCCCTGGCATGGGGAAGGAAAAAGAGAGCAATAAAACAGTGAAGAGCAGGATTTCTAACAAAACCCTCCGCACGTCCCAGCAGTGCTTTCCAAAAGTGTTACATCATTCCTTAAAAACTCTGCTGGATCTGGAAACCTGCAGTGAGATCAACATAAGCTTGTTCCGTCAAAGTGGCTCTGTCCGTAAGGAGCCTTTCCCAGCTCCAGTGGAGAAGTTCTCGAGTAATAAACAAGGAAAATCTGAAATTTGGGATCCATCATGTCCGAAGTTGGGTATAAGCTGAGTTTCAGTCCATGCTGCCTGTAAAATAGTCTGTTTCTTTTCCAGATGCATTGGAAACCTGTGGCATTGGGATGGCACATCTGAAGTCCTCTGTGAATGTACCAAGTTACAACACTAGTTATTGGAATGTTTCTCTCCCAAAACAAGCACTATGCCTCAAGCTTGCTCAAAGCAACATCCCTTGATTTTGGAAGAACAGAAGAATCTTCTCAAATCACACTTTAAAGCACATTCGTCAGAGATTTACTCAGTGTGACACTATGGTCCATGCTTATGATTGAAGTAACCAAAGTCAGCAGCTCATTTGACTCAGCCGAATGTAAGAACATAATATGACAATAAGCATACACAGTTGGACAGAACATACATCTAACCCAATACCTGTTGGGGGTTTTGTCACTGGCCATAAGTGGATGCCTAGAAATGAAGACAGAACAAACATTTCCCCCAGGCTCCAGCTCTTTATGATTCAGAGGTCAAACTGAGAGACAACTAAAGCAGTCAGGTTCCACAACTCTCTGTGGATGTCTCTTGTATGGACCTTTCCATTCTCCATTCATTAAGTTCAGATCAACCTTGAACTCAGATAAACCTATCCCACAATCCAGAATATCATTTGGTAAGGAACTAAAAAAGGAACAAAACAATGAATGAAAATTCTCTTATGGAACATGTGACATAGAAACATAGAATCATAGAATGCTTAAGGTTGGAAGGGACCTCTAGAGGTCATCTAGTCCAAGCCCCCTGCACACACAGGGACATTGTCCAATACTACCTAGAAACTGGCATTGGAGTTCACTGGCAGAACTCAGAGGCACACAAAAGTAGAGGCCTCTCCTGGACTTTAAAACAAAAACCTCATTCTTCAAAATTTCCAAAATACTTTGTTTTGCATAGAAGCAAAGATTCAGAGCCATTCTTATTTAATGGCAAAATATGCAGGCTTTTTTGTTTTAAATGTGCTATTTCCTAACTTTTCAATCACATCAATAAATCAAATTATTATGGTTTATACTGCATATATTTACATGTATTTATATGCATATATCTATAAAATACATGTGTGTGTATGTGTTTGTGTATATGCAAACTCCCACACCCCATATATATACCCCATACATATAAATAAGATTCATAAAGGCTATACACCATTATATACTGGCCTTCCCAGGGGAAGACACACATGTCCTCTAAATTCTTGCAACACAAGAGAAATCCGCACAAAACTCCCGCTAGCACCTTCAAAAAATCCCTCACTTAGATGAGCAAAGTGCTCTCACTTCTTGCTGCTAGATATTCACAAACCATGCCCCTGCAGTCACAGATCCACTGCACACCAGTATCCATCTCCCCTGTACACACAAGGCACACAAAATAGTCAGACTGTCTGTGCCCTAGTGACAAGAACAGAGGCCTGCTGGCTGTCACTCTGCTGGCACAGCTGCCATGGAGAACATATCCAACACGACTGTGGCAGTGAACGCCACCAAATAAGACAAGGGGATTTTTGGCAAGAGGCAGCCAAGTCAGTGGCATCAGTTCTCCCACCCGGGCACCAAGCCATGTCTCCTTTTCGTTGACGTGTCTCAGTGCAAAGCTCCTTTTGAGAGACTGCCTGGTTTCATACACTCTTTTTGTGTAAATTTGAGAGGAAAGGCACGTCTGGGCTTCTAAAGTCACTGACGAACTGGACTGTCTTCCTCCATTTCATCAAGAAAATTCAGCATTGCTGAAGGCAGCAATGTCAATGGTTAGAAAGACTTTACTTAATGACTTTCTCCTCTTGGATAAAAAGCATGGACTTTTCCAGATGGTGGTGGAGTGGAGTGGGAGATCCCTGTGGTTCAGCTCCTAAAACACTGCCACCTCAGCATAAAATCCTAGTGCATTTATCTTCATTCACTCACCTCTCACCATGCAACTTCACAGTAACAACTTATTTTCCAAACAGCAGTTGCCTCAGGTCTCCCTCTGATCATCTTCTCTCTGCCTGTTCCTCCCTAGCACCTAGTTCATCTTATGCCCAGGCTTTGCCCCTTCTTATCTTGCCTCCATGCTGCCTTTCCTTCTCCGTCTGTCAGTTTGAGAGCCCCATTGCAGCAGCCTCTTTATACCCCACTTGCAATTTGGAGCCCTAAATCATTCTGATGGCTGAAGTGCCCTTTCTGGCATCTGGGAGCAGCAGGAAGCAATTTGGTTTCACTGTGTTTAATGAATACACCTTCCGCCCAGCCCTTTAGATCCTGACTTGCATTCTGGGCACAGACAGCCCCATTCATTTACTTCTCCAAGCTACCAGCAACCATCCACCATCAACTCCAAGCTCCTACTTAATGAAGGCCAGTCAAAGAATGATTCCATGGTTAATCCAGTGGTGGCACAAGGCAGCAGAGTGACAGTTTTTGGGATGCTTAACCATCCTCTTGATCCATAGCACATTTGGTTTTGTCCCAGCCGCAGGGCACATCATAATTTCAATGCTGCCTTTTGCTAAGACATTTTCAGCTCTGCACATGCAGATATGCTTCTTTCTAAGTGTGAATTAAAGGCAGTAGCATTAATGCTCTGCTGAGCAGGCAGCTACAGGTGCACGAGGTAAAGTTAACCCCTTCTGTTGATGTCAAAATTCATTTTTGGCCTGATATCTATATCCAGATCCAGAAGAGCCAATTCCTGGCTAAGACAGCCTGTACAGAATTACTGGTATTTCTAAGTTGGTAACAGGAACATCATCATGGAAGCTGCAATTCAGGAAAGCCTTTTGGATGCTTAGCACCCACAGAAATAATCATGAGTTAGATACCTAAATCCTATCATTGTAGGTCTGGCCATACCTCATCAACATAGAGGCTGACAAATGGTCCATCATATAGATTTAAGCTGATAGAAAGCTATAATGCCCTATTACCTGTCACCCTCAACTGATTTTTAAAGGTGCTGAAGAACAGACTGCAAGTCCCAGACAGAGAAAGAGCCCAAAGCAAATCTAAAGACACTCTTGTTCCTCTGAAGATGTGATAAATGCTCTTTCTGAAGTCCTTGGCCATTGCATCTATCGTGGAGCTGCATTACCACATAAATAAAAACAACAGCTCTGTTTATGAGTTTTCATTTATTTCCTTGCCAAAAAGTGATCTCCATCTAGATGCTCAGCTGTACTTAGAAACCCAAGGGCAGCAATTGCTATACCCAGAAATGTTTTATTTCCCTCTGCTCACCCAAGGCTGAAATGAGCTGATGGTCCATGTTTCCCAGAGCTTTTCTGGGTGTATGGTACCTACAGGAAACTCTCTGCTGGCTCCTCGGTCTATAACTTGGAAAACAGGATGGATTGCAGAATAGCCTATTATAAAAGCCCAAGACAGAAGAACCTCCTCGCCATGATTCATCTTAGTATTAATTAATCTAGCCCCAAGGTCAGGGCACTAACAACATCAAAAAAAAAGTAAAAAGCAGGCGGGAAGCTCTCTCAACAGCTGCGTATTTCCAGGATATAGCCTTCTTCATACATGTTTTTGTTTGGCATAAGAAGCTACATCTCTCATAAGCAGCATGAGATTCTTCACCTGTAATAATATTACAGTCACAACACACACAAAAAATAATACAGTGGAGAAAAATTTTATTGTCCCTTCCTATTTCAGTTACTAAATAAAACAACAATTCATAGGGTGCTTGCATTTGATGAGGAAGGGACAACATTAATAAGAAACAGAAATGTAGAAGCAAAGAGAAAATCCCTACTGTTTTGTCACTGATTCAATATGTGGCCATTTTCCAAATAGCTAAAAGCTGTTACTAGCCATTGTCATTCACTAATGTCCATCAAACAAGGCTGGAGAAAATAAGAAAAACAAGGAAAAATTGCCTCCTCAAACAGCTTTTCCCACAGTTAATTATGGAAACAAATTCCACTCCCTCTTCGCTATGGCTATTGGCTCTCCCTTCAATCTTTTATGTTCTAGAGAACTAATAAAGTCTTCCGTCATTCCACCTCAGTCATGCTTATTCTCCTTGTTTTGGAGGCTCAGTGTTTCTTATCCTGGCAAATAATGGTCAAAGATGATTGCATAGGCATAAGCTCAGTTCAGCTAAACTCACAGTATCTTGGACTTTTTGTGTGTGGCAACACAGAAAACTTTGGGATGTACCACAGATCAGGCCTGTCAGCCACATCTGACCTGGGGAGGAAAGGGAAAAAGGGAAAGATTGGGTTGGCAGACAGTGGGAGACAGGGTACAGTATTCAGCAGTTCTGAATTAAAATAGGTTTCCTATTCAGTCTCTGTGTTTTCTGGCAGTTCTTGGTAGAACTTTCGTCCCTGTGGAGCAGACCGAGTCATTAGACCAAGACAGGACCTCATGAGGAAACCCAAGGCAGGTAACTGAAGTGAAAGGTAAATTGAGGTAAGTTGGAAGGTAAATTGAAAGGCAAACCAACTCTCCAGACCAGCATTCCAATACATGCACACTCAAGAACAAGAAAGGCTCAGAGAAGACAACACTGTCCCAGTACAAAGACGAAGCAGAGATCAAGTCAGAGGTCAAAACTGTGGGTCAGGCTAAGTATCAGGAAGTTCTGTGAGGTGGAAGATGTGATGAGGACTGAACCAAACTGGGACAAGTTCAGGCAAGCTGGTGATGAGAAGATCTAGGAGTGGGCATATCAGGACAAAGGTTCCAGAAGCAGAGAAATAGATGGAAAAGATACCAGGATAGTGAGGCAGAAACTGCCGCACTTGGTTGCACTAACCAAGGCAACAGCAGGCAGAGACAAGTCCAAGGACCCAGAAGCAAAATCCTGAAACACATCTGTGGACACTGAGGAGCTGAAAGGAAATGGTAGGATAGCTTCACTTACCTGAGGAGTGAGGAGTGAGAAAAAGTGCCAGCCAGCTTTATATACTGTCCTCAGCTACCTAGAGAGACCTGCCAGTTTCTCAGTTCCTTGGAGACTCATTCTGGCTACATTCTTGGCTGTTGTTTGCTAGATTGTAGATGTAGACTCCACATTTAGAAGATGAACAGGTACATTTCCTGGGCCACTAACCTGGCACTCTGTACAAGTACCAGTGCTTACATAAAGCCATACAAATACTTCGGATGCATAATAAAACAAAGTGAACATATTACTCAGTTAACGATTTTGTATCTAATTATGAGATGTTGTTATTATGAGATGTTAAACATTGCTTCAGGTTATTTGCAGGAAAGGACAGATGTTTTTGTTTTGTTAAGTATTTCAGTTATGGGTTTTGTGCAGCTCTATATGATTTCATTTTCTGTGAGCAATAGCCCTATATGCATTGTCACAAAATCCCAATATCCAAAAGATGAAATGGACCAAATATACAGTCACCTTCCATGGTAACATTCCATTCCACAATTTCATCTTTTAGTTAATCATTTAAAAGCTAGCTTAGTCATTTCAGTTTACGAATTTAGTATGTATTAATTTTAATTGTCCTCACCTAAAAAATATTCTTCTTATTTTAAAAACAGCATCAATAATCTGAGCAGAAGGAAAGTCATTATGGCTGCTTGGTCTGACTTTATTTCCTCACTCTTGCTAGGAAAACAGCAACAGCAATAACAACAAAGTAGTTAAAGTCTTAATTTTAAAAAGGAATGCAAAAGGACAACTCACTATAATCCATGCTAATTCAGTCTAGTGATTAATTATCTTCATTGTTAAAAATACATGCCTTTCGTCCATGCTGTTTTTTGTCTGTTGTTAACAGGTAGACTTTTAGTTTACTGCTTTTCATTACATTTAAGACTCTTTATTAAACTTTGATTCCCTATCAGTTGTTATAAACTGTGATCACCTCAGTCGTTAACCTCTTCCTAATTTATCTGACTACACAGAGCTTTTTGAGTCTTTCCCTCCTAGCCACATTTCCAGATTCTTTAACATTTCATACACTTCATTCTTACCTCCTGAATTATGGGCACAAGGACTGGATGCAGTAGTACAGCAGCAGTAACAGAGTTCCTCAATATCAAAAAAGTCTGTTTATAATATTTCAGTTTTTACTTATATACCTAAGGACTGCATTAGTCCAACATCTCGCAGAGCTCAGATTCAACGCTCCCAGATTTTTTTAAGTATAAACTGGACCCCTCTATTTGACAGGTTTTTGCCTACATACTCCTGGTGATAACCCTCTCCAACGATAAAGCACAGTACTGCTAGTTATTACAAGCCACACCAAGCAGGAGTTATGCCCAGAGGCTGCTGTGAGCAAAACAACATCATTTTTCTCCTCTCTGCACACCTCAGTTTCTATATGCTTCTTATCAAGAGCAAAGTGTCTTTAGTTTGCTGGCTTTCTCCCAGATCATGAATTTACTTACCTTGAGACCTGACATCATTTATGGACTTTAAAGCAAACAGTTTTCCTTTCAGTTTATCATATTTATACGTTCCCACCCCCCCCTCCCCCCCCACAATGACCATATGCTTATATAGAGAAGGAGGTGGAAGAGAGAAGGGCAAATCAATCCAGGCCAGCTCCAGGATGAAAAATATCCAGAAAATGCAAATCACAGTACAATCTGAAAGATGCAGCAAGCTGAGTAAAAGAGCCAAAACAGAATAAAATATAACAGCCCTCATCCATAAGAAGGAAAAGAATTACTATTGATTTTTTAAGCCTAAGTTCAAAATCACCACAATGAAATTTACTGCAAAAATGTTAATGATGACAATTCAATCTATCGCTCATGATTACACAGTAAAATTATGCACTCAGTCTTTTCAAGGCTAATGTTAGCAAGATTCAAATGACAACTTGAAGAGAAACTGTTCTGATTGATAGACTAAGACACAGCTGGCAGCCTCAGGTTATAATGGCCTGAATCCATGTTGACACAGGATTAACAATTGCTCATTCTTTTAGGAAGACAAAAAATGTGTAAGCAAAATGATAACAACCTCTAGTAGGAGCCGATCTCTTGTGATTAGCAAATATGTGTTTCAATGGGAGTGCTAGCAAATATTACTTTTAATGGACTTTTAGGTACCTTACCCTAAGATTTTTTTTTGGAATGTCCTAATACAGCTCTTCAAAACAACTGAGATGCACTGAAACAAACTGATTCACTGAGCAGCATGGAAAGTGGAGAAAGTGCACAAGCAGCTTGTCTAAAGAAACGGAAAGAGATGATCAAAATAGCAGAACACGTGTGTGCTAGCTGTGGTGGCACAGGGCCTGGGTAACTACTTCAAGGTTAATCTAAAAGAACTAAGTCATAGAGACCAGAAAAAAGAACCAAATCAGAGGTTCAGATAAAAACAAAAGGCAAGACCAGGTACTCACTCAGTTTTCTGAACAATGGGGAAGGTTCCAAGTCGCACGTAAGAGCTCTGAATTCCTCTTTCTTTCATTCCAAAAATTTGTCTCACACTGAACGAATCCATCAGGTCAAATCCTGTCCATAACAAAAGTGTAAACATGAGGCATCAATCAGGCTGCAGTATAAAAATTAGAGCAATGTGGCATGTCTTAAGCCATAGTCAGGTAGGTATCTTAGCTGACAGACAGCTCTCCAGAAATTAATCTTGTCCTTGCCTGGCAGACAGAACAAAATTCTAAAAAAAATCTAATCTGCTCAGTCCAAAAATACAAAACCAAGCATAGAGTCAAACTGTAACAGATCCTGGAGAGAACAGAGTTCCCTAAACATCAATGATATATTTTATTTGCATTGTTCCATCCTGGAGAGAACAGAGTTCCCTAAACAATATTTTATTTGCATTGTTCCGGCATCTTGAAAGCTGTGCAGTTATGGCACTAATGCCTATGGATGCTCAGATAAGGTAGAAAAAGAAACAGCACAGGTGAAGACAGAAACATTTACTGAACACACGCAGTCCGAGACCCTTGTCTACGCACAATCTTCATACCATCTCAATTCTATTTAGACATAGCCCAGTCTACTCATTATAACCATGAGCTGTTTATCTGAGTTGCAAACATTTCTGTGAAGCTCATCTTGTTTCTGTGAAGCTCATGGTTTGTTAGCAAAAACACCTGCCATGCAAATGGACCAGTGCATCTTCAGTACTGATGTGGACCCAGCCACAGCCAACTCATGTTTGGGTGGCACAAAGTCCCAGCTACTGAACCCTGGGTCAGGGCCAGATGAAAGGTATCCACACTGTGCCCCTCAACTTCTCCGGGTCCAAGAGGTCCACTACTGTGTGACTGCAACTATCACACTTTGAGGTCCAAATGGACTCATGGGATTTGCGTCCAATTTACTACATAGACCCAGATCCAGACACACTGTGGATTTAGCAGCAAAGACACTCCCAGATTGAGTGAGACTGAACACAGAACCTGTATTTTTCTTTTATTTTTTTGGGCTATTCTCATCTCCACTCACCCTCACACATACATGATTATACATATTAACTCCCGTGGATGTAATTACAGCCCATAAATCTGATGATAATAGAATGGTTTATTCTGGGAAATTGATTTTAAACTAGGGCAGTGGTTTTATCTTTGTTTAATCAGTGGTCTCCTAAAAGTCTTCTTGGGTAGATACAAATTACTGTGTCGTCAACCTATGTCTTAAGAGAAGAATCTTACTTTTCTCAGCTATCTTTGTGAAGCTCTTACAATTTCAGGCTGAAAGCCATCACACAGCTTGAAAAACACAGCAATGGGAAAAGGTGCCCATCTAATGGTATCATTTGTAATTATTTTAAGAATAAATAAGAGAAAAACCTGTGGGGGACAGCCCACAGCAAGACAAATCAAGATGTAACAGCAGAGAGCAAGTAAAACATAAACTTCAATCACAGAGCTTTTTCTAAAGAAATAGCTCTTTTTGAGGAAATATAGTCTTAATTGTTTGCAAAGACAGAAATGGCTGCCTTGTGCCAAGTTCAGGCCTTTTGTATTACAGTAACTTTCCTAGCTGTCAACAGCTTTTCCCTTCTGACCACTTTATTTTCAGCTATTACTGGACATTCAAGAGGGCAAATAAGGTGGTTAAGATGCCCCAGGGCCTCATGGCTCCACCTCGTAATGACCTCTGCAGCAGCTCTCGTGATACAGCCTTCTGATATACAGTAATCAGCCATGATTGCATCCATAAATTGTTCCAAATAGAAGCTACCAGAACATGAAAGCTCCCTGCTGGCTATCATATAAAAAAACAGTATGACCTGTCCATATAAGCTCTCCCACAAGTCATTTTAGTACATGCAATACATATTTTTCATCAACACCAGCCACAGAACTGTGAGGAAGGCACTTGAGTGTTGCTATTGAGATGAGACCACAGTGAGTGGCAAGGAGGCTTGTTAACCACTCACAGGAGCTGATAACTTGTGAATGGAGAAGGCTGGAAAGCTGCCCAAGCCTCAGCGCAGTGTCCAGCTATCAGGGTCCTCAAGCCATGGAGAATTGTTCAGCTAAATAGGTGAAAATTGCAGTGACAAAAATGGCCTTCTCAACATTCCCATTATTTGCTCAGACCTCACACATACTCTGATCCTTCTCTGAGAACTTAAGCCATCATAAGCAACTGTTAGGGTGTTCAGATAAATTGGGAGTCTGGTAAGCCAGTATCTTTTCTTTGCTGAAACTTCCAAAAAACATGCAAATTAGAGAGAGAGTCTAAATAACATAATAAAATCTAAGCACAGCTACTAAAAATCTTCTGCAAGCAGAACTTGCAATACTAAGAACACTCTGCACTCACAAAGACACAGGTAAATTATGGTAGAATCTTATTATTCCAACTAAGGACCACTGAACTGCAAATTTTTTTTATGTATTTTTAGCTAAGGGTCTATGAGGGTTGTTCTTTGCAAAGTTCAAGTGCTATGTAAATCCACAGAAGCATTAAGCATTAAGCTCTGGACATAGCAGACCACACACCTCAAACCAGCAAGGAATTTTCCCTTACTCAATTCATGACTACATTCTGCATCAAATACAGATATGACTCCACTCTCTTTAGAGGGAGCTCTGAAACAAACTAATTCAAGTTGATAGAACACTTAAGATGGGTCTCTTCTGGGTAAATGTCAGCTCTGTAGGCGGAAAAAACATATAGACTCTCATTCAGTTAGTCATAGAGAATTGAATACAAGCCCTTCTAGGGAGACATTCATCTCACACTGAAAGAAGTACCAAAAGTCCATGTGCCTCTCCATTGACATAAAGAGAACATAGGATGCCCAGGCTGTATGTAAAGCTCACCTAGTAGGGGTCCAATATTAGCTGTAATGACTCCCACCCTAGATGCTCTGTTGATAACCAAAGCCCATGAGGCAATGCATGGTTCATCTGCAGAAGGATTTCAGTGTCATTGGCAGTAAACCTGGCATTGGTCCACAGTGCAGACAAAGAAGAACTGTTCATTAAGGATGAGATGTGTCTCACCTCATTTTATCTGTCTAAAATGTAAGCAGGTTCCTTCAGATCCCTGTTGGGCATCGGAGGAAAACTGGAGCGTCTAGGAAGATAGTTCATCCCATCTATCTTGAACCTTTCTGAGGACAGGCCACAACACTATTGTCAGTGTCTATCTCTTCCTGAAAGGGAGCCAAGAGGGACATCTCAGACTTCTAAAATTAGGTGAGATAAATTCCACTTTTAGGGAATGTTATGCATTTTGTGGACTGAATGAGACAGAAGTCTAGAGGGGAAAAAAAAAAGGTAAATAATCACATATAACTTAAATTTACATTGTTTCATTTACATCCAAGACTGAATAAAAGTTGCTGAATTTTAAATTCAGAGCAGCAATATCTTAATCTCACTACCCTGTCCATTTATTGCAAGCATCTCTTTAAAGAAATACTAGCCTATTTCTGGGTGGGAGAAGAAACAGACAGACACAAAATCCTGTCATTTGAATCAAAAAATTAACCAGTGCATATTTTCCAGGAGGGATAGAAATCCCCACCTGTATACTGGCTTTCCATTACTAAGGCAGGATGGAGTCATCCTTGGGCCCAAGAAAATTCACAGATGTCTTCAACTTCCTCAAACCAGATGTAGGAAGGTAGGAATCTCAGTATAGAGCCACAGTTAGAAGACAAAACAAAGAGCTTACTTAGGGCAAAGAAAATGAGATCCCACACTTAAGCTTCCCAGACTTTCTCAACTGAAATGGGAAGGAACATACTAGTCCAAAATATCAAGGACAAAGTTACCCTTATCCAATCATTGCACCATGCTTGAGCACAGGATGAAAGGGTAGGATCTTTCTGTTCTCCATTGCTTTGATTTAAAATGTGGCTTTTTGTGTACCAAGACAGGTGTAGTTTCCCAGTTGGCTTACAAACTATTTAATCAGTAATGCCATTAAATATGACAATTAATAAGATGAATAATGCTCTTTGATCGTAAGCGTCTTACTTCATTATGGTTACTAAAGCAATTTGAGGCCGCTGAAACCCTCTAACCTGATTACGTCTCCTAAAAAGCAACATAACCTAGTCCATTAACATTGAAATTAAAATAGTGACCTGAAAGAGAGGCTCAGATTCATAACAGCATACTTGGCTTTAAAAGCAATTTCTTATGCACTGCTCTACTGATCAAATCAGTTCAATGTCTCTTTACTTGCAAGTAATAACTCTTTAAGGAAGCAGCCCCTTTTTTCCAGAATTAGAAGGCATGGTCCGATCTGCGTCTTGCAGGGAAAAGATGGGCAAAACTTGGCACTGGACTGGACAATTTCTACATCATCCTAAATGTAATATAAAAGTGCATTTTCTTTTACAGAAAAAATGTCCACATTGCAGCCAATCACATCAAAAAACATAGCCAAAGGGTGTCCAGACAGCTCTTTATTTGTTGAGTACTCCCATAAGGTTTGTTTCCATATATTTATTTCAAGATAAGGGACCATGATCAGTTCCTGTGAGCATGAGCTGAGTTCTGCTTGGCTCCATTAAGTATCTGACATGGACAGCATGGTAGAAGCTGGCATCTTCATGCTGAGAGTTTCCTGTTGCATTGTTAGGTATTTGGGGGAAAAAAAAACATCACCACCCAAATGCAAGAAATTAAAGCAATAGAGATTTACTGGCCAGAAAACAAGGTGATGTACATGTTTAGAAAGTCTTCTCAAAGTAGGACTGAAAATTTAGTTTATTTTTTGGCATGACAAAAGTCTTACAGGAAAAGTGTACTGCCTTGCATTTAGGAAGAGCCTAAGGCACCCCTCACAGGAACCATGCAACTACTTCCATTTGCAAAAGTTTCTGAAGAGGGAACTGCCTGGAAAGCATGGTGAGAAAGGAACTAGGAAAGGCACACGATACCAGAGCCCTAGGTGATGTGTTCAGAATATATTTACCAGTGAGGCTCTCCAGCCATGAGTACTGATATAAAACAGAATTTTTGCAGAAACTGCTGCATACATTAGTTGTGTTTAAACTCTCCACTGATTTATCACCC